TCTGTTGTGATCCTGGTCAGAGCAGTCACCAAGCCATGGTATTTTTAATCACCTCATATGCACGCAAAACCTGGCCAATGAATAAGGAAGACCGAAGAAGAACTGATGCCTTTCAATTATGGTGTTGGCGAAGAATATTGAATATACCATGGACTGCCAGAAGAATGAACAGATCTGTCTTGGAAGAAGTACAGCCGGAATGCTCCTTGGAAGTGAGGATGGGGAGACTTCGTCTCACGTATGTTGGACATGTTGTCAAGAGGGACTGGTTCCTGGAGAAGGACATCATGCTTGGTAAAGAAGAGGGTCGGCGAAAAAGAGAAAGCCCCTCAACGAGATGGATCGATACAGTGGCTGCAACCATAGGCTCAGACATAGCTATGATTGTGAGAATGACGCAGGACCGGGCAGTGTTTCGTTCTGTTGTACGCAGGGTCGCTATGAGTTGAACCTATTCAAAGGCACCTAACAACAACAACAACATATTCCTTCCATCTTCTTTTGATGCTTCTTGTGTCATTTCAATATTTTACCCATAGAATCTTTCAAAATTGCTTCTCAAGGCTTGAATTTTTTTCCAGTTCTTTCAGCTTGAGAAATATCGAGCGTGTTCTTCCCTTTTGGCTTTCTAACTCCAGGTCTTTTCACATTTCATTATAATATCTCACTTTATCTTCTCAAGCCACTTTTTGAAGTCTTCTGTTCAGCTCTTTTACTTCATTGTTTCTTCCATTCACTTTAGATTAGAAGAGTAGTCCCTAAATGCAAATCCACACACTGCTTGATTTTCAGAGATTAATTAACAGTCTACCATAGTGCCTCCCAATCTCAATTTTATGTTTAAGGAAATAGTGAAAATAATAACTAAGATCAACTTGCAACTAGTGAGTGTACGCAAAAGCTGGACAATGAATAAGGAAGATTAAGATTAAGGCAATGAATAAGATTCTGCAAAGAAATGGGAGTGAATACAAGACACTGCTTTTCCCCGCTGGAGGATGCTGTTTGGCAGAGTGAAATGTGCTCCTCGGAGCTGTCGAAATGAGGAATGAGAAAATTTCTTCATGGCACTGATAATGCCAATAAAGACCATTTCTAGCATTTCAAATGCATGGTCTATCTCAGCAATGTCCTAGATTATCTTGACAAGCCTGAATTTATCACTTCATGGACGAACAACTGACAATTCTCAATGCTGTGGGTAAGGTGTTAGGATTCAAACACAACCAAACAAAACAAGCTGTGGTATAAACATCTCAGTCATTAGGAATTTGACCCACTCCCAATATTTGATGATTTTCTTTCTCATTAGAGTAAACAAAGCAATGAAATATCCTTGAACATTAAAAACAACATCAAGATGCTGAAATGGAACATAAAGAATTGCTCTGCAGAGTGGATTAGGAATTTATTTGTCACTATTCCCAAGTGGAACCCAAACTATCAGCTTTCCATTCCATTGTGAGGTTAGAGTTTTCAAGGTACTACTCACTGATAAATCTCTCTATTAATTCTAGGTCCATATTTGATCTAAATATCCAGAATTACCAGATGGAGCCACCAAACTCTTGCTGACATTCCCAATGAACTATAATTGTAATTTTGAATTCTGTAATTTAGTGGCAATAAAAAAGCAAGAAAGAAACATTGCATGTAGAACCTATGTTTGAATTATTGAGTAAAAAGCTTAGTGAAAGGTTAGCAATGAGATCATTCCTCTTTTACTGACATGAAACTATTATTCCTTCCATTGATTAAATATTATATTCAGTTTTTATAATTTAAGTAATTATCAAGTCTTTTTCTATTCACTTAGAATTAATGGTGCAAAAGCACACTGGACAACTTTTAAGTGGTTTGGGGATAACAAAATTTTGTGAAACACTAGTGAGAGATTGTTGGTGGAATGAATAGATGAGGAAATTGTCCAGGTTACATAATGGAGACGTGGTGGCACAGTGGTTAAGCAGTTGGCTGCTAACTGAAA